TTTCACAGCCTGTCCCATACTAGAGTTGAAAGCTCGTTGGCCCACATATTCATACTTAGGGTTAGGCATGGACAAAAAATTGAAAATTTGACAAAATCAATCAAATCGACCCGACTCAGACTAGTTTGGGTCGGTAATTGGTTTGATTTGATATTCTTTTAGATAAAACCAAGGTAAGTCGGTTAAATCCACCCCACTCACATGTTTACCTTTTTTTAAAGAAAACTTAAAAAAAAATCAAAATCTCGTAACCATATTTCGATTCATTTTAATTTATGATATTGCCAGTAAGTAATAATACTGAAAATTTCATTTTACAAACTCATTATATTATGCTTAGTCATTTTTCTATTCGGACGGTCAGACTACAAAATGTATAAAAGCAACGAAATTCTTGAATTTTCTATTGATCCGTCTGTATTAACTTAATTTTATTCGTTAGTCAATAGTTCTCATAATAAAAAATTATTTAGTTATTGTAATCTAAGTGAACCCCAAACTCGAACATTTTTTTTTTTTTTTAAATTCAATTTTGAGTAAATGTCCAAACAACTAATCAAACCGATATGTTTTGTTTTGATTTGGTTCGGTTTAAGAGTTAAAGTGAATTGATTTAGTTGAAATTCATCCATTTCCACTAATTTAGTTTTGGTTTTTAGTTAGAGACGAAATAGATCCAAACCAAACCACTCCCAAACATATCGATTTGAGCGATTAAAGCGCAGATCGCTTTCTCCATTTCTCAGTGAAAGCCTTACCGGCCTTCAAGAGAGCAACATGCTATATAGTATTGCACCGTCGTTTTTGTCAAGCTTGAAATCCTGAAAATCGTCAAAAAAAAATAAATAAAAAAGGGGGGTGGGGTGGGGAGTGGGTTACAACCCAGCATTTATGTATTACACTGGTAGTTATGACTGATTATTAAATTAGTTATTGCCTTTCGAAGCTTTGTATATAATTAGTCTAGGTTAAAGCATCACATTTTTATACACTATACACTCGAGATTCACATGTAATATTATATTTGGGACATTTATGTACAGGGAATATTAAATACTATAAATATTTGTGAACACGAATGAATGTGTTCTTTTGTTTTCTGTTCGCTAGTGATTTGTCTATACATTGATTTTCTATTAAAATTTTAAAAAAATTACTTTTAACATTGTCACTATTGAAAAAAAGTAGTTAATTTTTTAATTTTACTTCTTAGATCTACTTACCCACTCAACTATAATATTTTTGAATATATTTTTCAAACTTTTATTAAAGTCTTGTTCACAACTAACAAGAGAATCAAAATTGTTTAAACTAAAAAAAACGTGACAGCTAAACTAATGAATTATGAACTCTGCTATGTGTCCCAATTCATGAATTACTGTAACCTAATGATATGCAAATATTTTTTCAATGTATTCATTAATGAACTTTTGAATTTGCAAGTATTTTTTTTCAACTTTACGACGCGCGACAATGTGACATTCTATAAGTTGTCAATCTTAAATAATTCACTACTATAGTACGTTTTATTAATTATTTCAATCCGAAAAAGAATATATTAAAAGAATCTAGTTTGGATCGCTAATAAATGACACGATTTTTATCCGATATATGTTTCCTGAGTATTTTGCTCCTTCTTGATTGAACTGATATTTAGAGAAACACAAGACTATCTCGACAAAACTTACACGAGAGTTTACATCTCTATGAGTTTAATTGATTAGTTCCGAAATTATTTTATTAAGAGAAAATAACATTTGAGCTCTTTAATTTATTGTTCTATCATGTGTAGTCACCAATAGTAAGTGATTTAGGTGGGTGAGTTGGTAGGTAACAGCGGATGTGAAGTGAAATATCGTTGACAGTTACATCGTAATTAATCAAATTAAGTAAGTGTTAAAAATATATGGAGACGTTCGAATATAGATAAGTCTATGTATTAAAGCAAGGTATTGACATAGTTTCATTTGTGCAAGCAGTATTGTCGTCATGCTTGCTTTTAATCTTGAACTAGCAATAATTAATCCAAAGCTGAATTTTTAATATATCAAGAATATATTCGGTACGTCAAATTAAATTAAATACGAATTAATGTAATTTATTCAATATTTGGTACAAGAATACACGTATTAAATAATCCCAAAATTTATATCATTCACTAATCATTGCTGATTGAAATGATTCATCCAATGATATGGTTTGAACTGGATTATTTCTAATCCATTATTGGATGAGTTCGATTGATCAACAAAAGAACATGTACATTTACTTAAAAATAAGGAAGTTTTAAAATAATTTTTTATTAATATAAATTAAATTAAGTAAATTTTAATACAATGATTTCTTTCAAATAAAAAATATATATTTCATAATTTAAAATAAAAAAATGTCAATTATTTGACAATGTTTATAAACATGATGTGGAATTATAAAGAATGAAAAATAAATAAGGTGATGAGGTAGGCAGTGCTATTTAGAGTGAGTCATCATATGTCGTCGATTTTCAAAATACATTTTTCCCCTCTCTTCATTTCAATCATATATTATTTAAAAAAATAATATTATACACAAATTTCAATACTTTTCTTTATTTTGTAACCACACATTTTTATCAATCTAATATTTCAAAATGCATTTTCAAAAGAAAATGGGGCTTAAACAGGCCCTTTATTACTCAATTCTTAATTAATAATGCTCATTATGAATAATTAAATGATTAGTTATAATGCTAAATAGGATGTCTACAGTAGTCACTCACTACGAACAGCACTAAATATGAAATAAATTTTAAACTAATAAAGAATTCTACGAACTATTTAAAGGTAAATTTCATCAAAAATCTCTAATTTTTCATAAGCATGGTAGTCAAGTCGCCAACTTACCATTTGTTTCACATTTATCGTCTACACTCGTAGCCGCAATTAACATGAAACGTAAAATCAAAAAATGAGCTTGAATCCCATAAACTCCAATCAAAACTATTCTAGGCCTGTTTGAATTGCTTTACTTCGGCTTTCTCTTACAATCATATTCATCGTAGAGATTCCCTGAACACTATTAATTTTCATCCCATTCGTATTTCTAAATGAAAGCTGGAGTCATGGTTCAAATTTTTTTGGAATAGATAAAATCTTTTCGAACAATTTCACCATTTTTCCCAACATTACATGAGTGTCACGTGATCATTTAGTTGTCGGATAAATATTTTCTATTATTAAATGGTAGATCGGACAAATAGATATCACACTTGAGGAAAGTTGATGACCCTCCATCCATAGAAGTTACCCAATATTCAACTGCCAAGCAAGTTGGATGAACTGACATTTTTTACCCTTACAATCCAAAATTACCAATGTCTCTTCCCCTATCCCAAAACAACCTAATTGAAATTGTACTTTGCTAACTCGATCGTGCACCATAACTATACGTCCACATCTACAAAAATCGAACTACGAATTAATTAAATTGAACTCATAATAAATTTCTCTCCGAACACTCCGTATATGATGGAAGAGTTTCTTTTCGAAGAGAAGAATAATATCTTGAGCAAAATAAAAAATACATTACAAGTAATATAAGTTCCCTTTATGAATAATTTCTAAATTTGCTTGAAGTTAAATTTTCAAATTTGAATATCGTGTAAAAATTTACTACCGTTGTTTGTCCCCCATTAAAATTTTACTATATGTTTTTCTCTTTTTTTTTTTCAACTACACATTATTCGATAAATTAATATTAAACGAAAATAAAAAAAAATTCATCATTTTTTAATCACACATTCTCTCAAAAACTACTATTTCATAATACATTTTGTCCAAATTTCTAGTTATAATGGGTGTCAAAACAAGGGCTAATGTGTGAAAAGCATGCACATTTTTTAATTGTGACATGATTGAGACTCTTGATATTTATAATTGAAAATTGACAGGTTAGAAGACTCTGGGAAAGTTGGAGGAAGGTGGGTAGGTGAGCTTAGGAACTAAGGATTTAGGGTTTCTATTTCAATTTAATTATCTATTTTATTCAAATATTTAGTATTCTACTAAAACACGAATTGTTTATTCATATTTAATTTTTTAGTACGTTTCTTTTAGGCTAAAAAGACAAAGCTTTCGTAAATGAATGATAAAATTTGAATTCATATTATAAAACATAGTCTAAAGATTCATTCATCAAAGGTTAACAGTTTGTTCGACAGCGATTTTTTGCTCTCAAAAATTGATTTTTTAATCGTTATTTCACTATTCCAATCGTTATATTTGACTTCTTTTCTCATATGTGGACCTCACTTTTCTCTTAACGGTCAAAAAATCAATTCTCAAAATCACTCCCAAACAAGCTCTAATTTACCCAATTGATGGCAATATGGTGAACAAATAATTAGCACGTTCTTGTTAATTAAAGATGAAACTTAATAAATGAACCGATGAAGAAATTTGAACTAATGTTATAAAAGTGGTTCAAATAGTTAGTAAATTCTAATTAAAAGGTTAACTGATTGAATTAGTGATGAACTTGTGACTGAATATTCAGCTCGATGCTATTTGGTCAAAGATTAGATTTTCATAAATATATGGTAATGAAACTTGAACTAATGTTATTTAGAGATTTATCTAGAAAAAATAAATTCGAACTAAAATGATAATTGCCTGAATTGATGGTGGTGACAAAAAATAAAAAATTATGTGGTAACTATCAATTTTCGAAGTGAAGTGATTGGTTTTCAAATTTATTTTTAAAATATTACGTATTTATTTTTGTTAATAGTTTTATTTTTTATTTTTAAAATATTACGTATTTATTTTTGTTAATAGTTTTATTTTTTACAAACAAAAGGAAAAAAAAAAAAAGAAAAGAAAGAAAAAGAGTTGTTTCTACGTAGATAATTTGGACTTTTTTTGTACTTTTCATTACGGACCGTTGGATTTGCATTTGGGTGGAAAACTAGAATAATCCAAGCAGTCTACAGTAGCAGCCCCTCCCTGCTTGCCTCCAACTACCAAATCCTCGACCCTCCGCCACCCGCCACCTTATATTCCACCATATAAAGCCACCCCCACCACCACTCTTTCCCCACATATCTCTCTTTATATAGACATACACACTGTGTGTCTATTCACGCACAGTTTAGTGTTCTACTTTTTTTTTTTTTGCGTATATTCATTATTCAAGAAGGCATTGTCAGTACGTAAAATATGATTTCATTCTCTTCAATCCAACACAGGTCCACACAAAACTCCACCACGATCACCACCGCCGTCGCCTCCTCCTCCGCCAGTACAACGAACCGGACTTTTCTCCTCCCCCACCACCATACCCACAAATTCTACTTCAACTCACCACCATTTTTTCAGACCGTCGACCTCCCCCGCCGCCTCTGTATCCGGGCTATCGACGCCGCGCAACCTTACGACTACGAAGCCCAGCTTGTTAACCGCTTCTCTCAATCTGGCAAGCTGAAAATCGCCATAATTGGATTCGGTAATTTCGGCCAGTTCCTTGCTAAGGCCTTTATCCGACAGGGTCACATAGTTTTCGCTCATTCACGTTCTGATTATTCGTCCATAGCGCAATCCCTTGGCGCCACCTTCTTCTTTGACACCCACGACCTCTGTGAAGAACACCCAGATGTTATCCTTCTCTGTACCTCCATTATTTCCACTGAATCAGTCCTCAAATCCCTCCCTATTCAACGCCTCAGGCGCAATACACTATTTGTCGATGTTTTATCTGTAAAAGAATTCCCCAAGAATATTTTCTTGCAATATCTTCCCTCCCATTTTGACATTCTCTGTACTCACCCTATGTTCGGGCCTGAAAGTGGGAAAAATGGCTGGCAAAATTTAGCATTTGTGTTTGACAAAGTTAGGATTGGGAACGAGGAGTCTAGACTTACACGGGCCGAGACTTTCTTGGATATTTTCAAGAACGAAGGGTGTAGAATGGTGGAAATGACTTGTGCAGAGCATGATAAATATGCTGCAGGGTCTCAGTTTATCACGCACACGATGGGGAGGATTTTGGAGAAGTTGCAATTGGACAGTACCCAAATTAACACAAAAGGGTATGAGACTTTGTTGAATTTGGTGGAGAATACGGCAAGCGATAGCTTTGATTTGTACTATGGATTGTTCATGTACAATAAGAATGCCATGGAGCAGCTGGAGAGGTTGGATTTAGCGTTTGAGGCATTGAAGAAGGAATTGTTTGGACATTTACACGAGGTTTTGAGGAAGCAATTGTTCGGGAAGTCCGAGGAAAGTCCGAGGCTGGTGCTCGCGAAGTTACCCAGTAAACTAGCCAAGAATGGGACTCCATTGTTGCCGGTGTCCAAATCAGAGACCGAGACTGTGGTAAACAATAACAATTAGGATGGTTATATTTGTATTAGGTATGCTTCTTGTAGAGGATCATGCTAAGGATCCTCAGCCTTAATTCAAGACTTTCCATTTGCATTCTCACTTGACCCATAATTGTAGCTTAAACCCTGTTTGCTTAATTCTTTTCATTCAGTTGTATTATTTACATTCTATTGTAATCATACCATATACGATTATGTAAATATGGATAAATATATATATATATATATATATATATATATATGAAATCAACTCACCTCTAGTAAGTGTGGTGGTTTTCCAAACACTTTCACTTCTCTTCCAAATTTCTATCTCTTGACTGCAATAAATGATTAGTTTTTATCAGTTTCTATTAAATGACAAATTGTATAGTACTACCAAGAATATTCAAAAAATTAAAATATACAGTATCGTAATTCGAAAAATTGTGACTCCTATTGGAGATTGACGATTGTTCTTGACTACTGTATAGAACGTAGCTCATCCGCAACGCAGAATCACTTTATTTTGTTGCTTTAAGTGAAACTTATAGTGGGAAGAGATAACCATTTTAGTATGGCAAAAAGATTGATAATTAGGTTGATAGCCACAAGCGGTAATGAAGATAAAGCTCCCAATAGGAGTTTGTTGTCGTGGATTATCAGTGGCGTAGCCAGGCCAGCATGTGAGGTAGTCAGGGTAGCATGTGAGCTAGTCAGGGCAGCGTGCTTGGCTGCCCAATATATGGGGAAAAAAATTCTCGGTGGAGCCAGCACGGGCCACCGCCATTTACTCACCGATTGCTGACTCCGCCATTAGGGACTGTGATTGATTACCACTAAGCCGAGGTTGGAAGGAAATTACATGCTATGTTGGATAGGTTGAACTTGAGTAGGTTGAAATTGATTGAACTTGAGTAGGTTGAAAAAAGACATACTACCTTGGTAAGAATAGCTTTCTACAGAATATATGATCCATGTTCCATTAGGCTTTTTAAATTTTTTGGTGGCAACAAAAGGAAAACATTTAATCTTCTAGAGCAATCCTGGTGCCAAGATGTGATTTTTACTAGAGATTTAGTCTCTTGGAAACAGATTTGCTATTTGTATATTTAACAAGGAATTGTTTGCATTTGCAACCATGCTATTGTGGGCAGTTCTGTTGTCGAGAATTCTAGCTAAGACTGCAGCCGGTTCCTCATCTTTGACCAGTATGGTTGATTTAGGTATAACATTGAAGGAATAACAAAATACGAAGTATGGTTGTTAGAATTGATTAAATTTTCTAATGTAGAACAATTGACTGTCTATGCATTTCTTATACCATTATCAGTTGTCCCACTATAAAATACTTTGAGCTTTTCTCTGATCATATAGAAAATGTTTAGGAGTTCATCCATGGACTAAGCTATTAGTTCTTACTATGCTACTTACTCGTACAAACATATCCATTGGAATACTCTGCAAATTAATCATTTTCCAGACTGCTGATCATTCGATAGCTAGATAGCATCGTTCTTATACTCAACATATGAAACTAGCCTGTTTTGAGTCTTCCATCATAGAAATTACATGTCTAGAACCATCTATTTGGAAAATGTGCTGTCACTTACACTAAAATATGAAAGATTATCCAATCATGATAATCCTTATGGTTTATACTTTGCCCTTGTCAACAGCTTGATTGAGCATGTTTAATATTTCTTTATTTTTTTTCCTTCTAATTCTTCTATTATTCAAGAATTTATGCTTGGAGAATGCATACTTTAGTGTTCCTCCGTATTCATTTCTCCACTTGAGACCTAATTTTAGTGCGTATTTGCAAATCTACTCATCTTCTGATATTTTCTAAAGGATGTTCAAAATCATAGAAGCTGGGGATACCTTCTTAACTTCCCATGAGAATTATGTGGTGGACCTAGGTTTATATAAGATAAGAAATTGATAAGAGAGTAATGGTTGTGAAGCATTCTAAATGCTTAAACTTTTATCGATCGAGTTTTCTAAAACACTGATGAACTGGCTCTCATGCTGAAATAGCATCTGTTTTGAGCATAAGATAATTTTATACAGAATAGGTCTTTTCTCATTGACAAGTTTCTCTGCTAGTCCAATCTCTTTTATAGATCTACGAATGGAACATGGTTAACATATAACCTCCTTTTCATCCTGCTTGTGTGCTCTAATAACTATAAGAAGATAGATTTGCACGAGGTCTCTTGACGGATAATCTATGTTTTGTGGGAGTAAGTTCTGCTTCATCTTGTAATTGATTGAAAAGCCCTTAGTTTCAGTAGATAAATATAGTTTAATACTATAAAATATAATGCCATAAAAGCATCAAGAAATTGTTGTAGCAGGGATCCACGGGAAAGGGTAGATCTAAATTTGGTAAGATCACCCACTATTTATTGCAGCTACACAACACACAAAGAGAAGGAAGAAAGAGCTTGTCTTGGAATCCCTTGATCCTTGAGACTACATGATTTACTGTAAAAATAAAGATCATGTCATAACTACATTTTCACTGCATCAATTGCCCTCTTTCCCTGCTGGTAGGAGAAGATAAAAGTCTCATGATAATCTCTCACTGCCTTGTATAATCTTGGCCTATTGTCATTAATAAGTTTCCCCACTGGTTCAATCTCTTTTCCAACTTCTGAAGCACAGAACATGGCTAGAGTTTTCCTCTCCTTCTTGGAGTTTGTTAATGCTCTGTGCACTGGGCTCTTAAAAATTCCATTACTCATTATCTGTAGGAATCACAGAGCAAAAAATGAGTATATCTGCATAAGCTAGCCCAAGTTCATGTAAAGAAACTGTGAAATGGTCTCTAAAACCTAATTTGTTATGTTAGACTAAGCAAATCTGATAGAAATGATATGGTCTTAGAGTTTTAGGAATTTTTCTTTCAGCATAGGGATATTATCCAAAGATTCTTGGCAGAGCCTTGGAAATAGAATCGATCCCATCTCGTTCAAAATTACCTCGTCTAAATGTAGAAGTGACTGTACGAATATATACCTCTATTTGATCACCAACATTAACGAGAAGAGCACCAGGGATTATAGGAACACGAAACCACTTATCATCTTTCATGACTTGTAGACCTTCTATCTCTTCATCTTGCAGGAGAATGGTTACTGTCGTAGCATCAGCATGTGGCTTGAGTCCAAGGACACAATCAGGCCTTGGACAAGGAGGGTAATAGTTGAATTGCGCAGCCAATCGTTTAAGCTGACCACATTGCTTCAAGAAGCAGTCCTCTTCTAAATTCAATGATCTCGCCATAGACTTCAATAGTTGTTCTTCTATCTGCTCAATCCTTGTAGCATATTCGAACAATATAGCCCTGCAGAGTTGGACATGCTATGCATTAAATTTACATTCTTCAAACTACAGAAATAAACCAAAGGATTCGACTCAAGGATCTAGAGAATCCATGTTTCTTAATTTATAAATCTTTAGGTATAACATCTAACTCTAAGCAAGATAATCTTTTTACTAATTAAGGATAAATATTACCTAAAAGATTGTGGATTTTCAGGCCAAAATTTGAGTTTTCTCTCATTTTCTGGATGAACTAAAAGCATCAGCCGATCAAACCAATCAAGCGTTTGATTCTCGAAAAGAATCATATCATTCCCATATCCATCTATTTTGCCTGCCTCTCTGGCATATTTTTGCTTCTCCATCATAGGAAGGTGAAAAAACTGTCTACCAACTTCACGTATTTTTTCCAGAAGGGAAAATTCAATTCCATGATTGATTGCCTGAAATTCCAACCCAAATATACAAATTATATTCGACAGCCAATGAGAATTTGATTGAAACATAGATTGGGATTTACATGATTTGATTGCAAAAATTTGCAAGTTAAGTGACTAGCCATGCTTTTAAAAAAAAATTCAAATTGTAAATTATCAAATTGAAGAGATTATTTTTATCGAATTCAAACCTGAAAGCATCCCCATGAGGTGAGAGCCGATCGAAGTTTGTCGAGTTCTTCGACATTATTCAAACGAGCAATATCAATAACTGGAATTTCTGCGAGTGGCGCAAATGCATCTATGACTCCATAATTAGCATCTTTCCAAATATATTCATTTGGAAACTGAATCCCATTTTCTACCATCTCTTGAACAGGTTTTTGTGTTACTTCTACTTCAGCCATGAATTATTGAAATTGTTCTCGATAGTAAGCTATGTATAGTTAGTGAGGAAATTGGGCGGAGAACTGAAGTAACGGAAAATAAATAGGAAGAAATTATATATGAAATCAACTCACCTCTAGTAAGTGTGGTGGTTTTCCAAACACTTTCACTTCTCTTCCAAATTTCTATCTCTTGACTGCAATAAATGATTAGTTTTTATCAGTTTCTATTAAATGACAAATTGTATAGTACTACCAAGAATATTCAAAAAATTAAAATATACAGTATCGTAATTCGAAAAATTGTGACTCCTATTGGAGATTGACGATTGTTCTTGACTACTGTATAGAACGTAGCTCATCCGCAACGCAGAATCACTTTATTTTGTTGCTTTAAGTGAAACTTATAGTGGGAAGAGATAACCATTTTAGTATGGCAAAAAGATTGATAATTAGGTTGATAGCCACAAGCGGTAATGAAGATAAAGCTCCCAATAGGAGTTTGTTGTCGTGGATTATCAGTGGCGTAGCCAGGCCAGCATGTGAGGTAGTCAGGGTAGCATGTGAGCTAGTCAGGGCAGCGTGCTTGGCTGCCCAATATATGGGGAAAAAAATTCTCGGTGGAGCCAGCACGGGCCACCGCCATTTACTCACCGATTGCTGACTCCGCCATTAGGGACTGTGATTGATTACCACTAAGCCGAGGTTGGAAGGAAATTACATGCTATGTTGGATAGGCGGCCTTTTGAAAATGAGGAATTACTTGAAAAATAAACAGAATGAAGATGCAATGGAAATATTTGTTGTTTGTTGTGTTCTCTCTCAAAGATGGACATGAGTGTTGGTTCTTCCATACTATGTCTGATAATCAATCCAAATTGTTCTGAAATGTGCTAGGCGTTTTATGTGAAATGTAGGTTTGCAGAGCACAACTAGAAACAAAGGCCATGTCCTCCTTGACTTCAAAATGCCAGAGAAAAAAAGAATGGGAAGGTATGGGCTATTTATTTAAGATTTGGGATCTGTTTGCTCCGTGGTTAGAGCCTTTAAGAGGTTCAAATTGATTGAACTTGAGTAGGTTGAAAAAAGACATACTACCTTGGTAAGAATAGCTCTCTACAGAATATATGATCCATGTTCCATTAGGCTTTTTAAATTTTTTGGTGGCATCAAAAGGAAAACATTTAATCTTCTAGAGCAATCCTGGTGCCAAGATGTGATTTTTACTAGAGATTTAGTCTCTTGGAAACAGATTTGCTATTTGTATATTTAACAAGGAATTGTTTGCATTTGCAACCATGCTATTGTGGGCAGTTCTGTTGTCGAGAATTCTAGCTAAGACTGCAGCCGGTTCCTCATCTTTGACCAGTATGGTTGATTTAGGTATAACATTGAAGGAATAACAAAATACGAAGTATGGTTGTTAGAATTGATTAAATTTTCTAATGTAGAACAATTGACTGTCTATGCATTTCTTATACCATTATCAGTTGTCCCACTATAAAATACTTTGAGCTTTTCTCTGATCATATAGAAAATGTTTAGGAGTTCATCCATGGACTAAGCTATTAGTTCTTACTATGCTACTTACTCGTACAAACATATCCATTGGAATACTCTGCAAATTAATCATTTTCCAGACTGCTGATCATTCGATAGCTAGATAGCATCGTTCTTATACTCAACATATGAAACTAGCCTGTTTTGAGTCTTCCATCATAGAAATTACATGTCTAGAACCATCTATTTGGAAAATGTGCTGTCACTTACACTAAAATATGAAAGATTATCCAATCATGATAATCCTTATGGTTTATACTTTGCCCTTGTCAACAGCTTGATTGAGCATGTTTAATATTTCTTTATTTTTTTTCCTTCTAATTCTTCTATTATTCAAGAATTTATGCTTGGAGAATGCATACTTTAGTGTTCCTCCGTATTCATTTCTCCACTTGAGACCTAATTTTAGTGCGTATTTGCAAATCTACTCATCTTCTGATATTTTCTAAAGGATGTTCAAAATCATAGAAGCTGGGGATACCTTCTTAACTTCCCATGAGAATTATGTGGTGGACCTAGGTTTATATAAGATAAGAAATTGATAAGAGAGTAATGGTTGTGAAGCATTCTAAATGCTTAAACTTTTATCGATCGAGTTTTCTAAAACACTGATGAACTGGCTCTCATGCTGAAATAGCATCTGTTTTGAGCATAAGATAATTTTATACAGAATAGGTCTTTTCTCATTGACAAGTTTCTCTGCTAGTCCAATCTCTTTTATAGATCTACGAATGGAACATGGTTAACATATAACCTCCTTTTCATCCTGCTTGTGTGCTCTAATAACTATAAGAAGATAGATTTGCACGAGGTCTCTTGACGGATAATCTATGTTTTGTGGGAGTAAGTTCTGCTTCATCTTGTAATTGATTGAAAAGCCCTTAGTTTCAGTAGATAAATATAGTTTAATACTATAAAATATAATGCCATAAAAGCATCAAGAAATTGTTGTAGCAGGGATCCACGGGAAAGGGTAGATCTAAATTTGGTAAGATCACCCACTATTTATTGCAGCTACACAACACACAAAGAGAAGGAAGAAAGAGCTTGTCTTGGAATCCCTTGATCCTTGAGACTACATGATTTACTGTAAAAATAAAGATCATGTCATAACTACATTTTCACTGCATCAATTGCCCTCTTTCCCTGCTGGTAGGAGAAGATAAAAGTCTCATGATAATCTCTCACTGCCTTGTATAATCTTGGCCTATTGTCATTAATAAGTTTCCCCACTGGTTCAATCTCTTTTCCAACTTCTGAAGCACAGAACATGGCTAGAGTTTTCCTCTCCTTCTTGGAGTTTGTTAATGCTCTGTGCACTGGGCTCTTAAAAATTCCATTACTCATTATCTGTAGGAATCACAGAGCAAAAAATGAGTATATCTGCATAAGCTAGCCCAAGTTCATGTAAAGAAACTGTGAAATGGTCTCTAAAACCTAATTTGTTATGTTAGACTAAGCAAATCTGATAGAAATGATATGGTCTTAGAGTTTTAGGAATTTTTCTTTCAGCATAGGGATATTATCCAAAGATTCTTGGCAGAGCCTTGGAAATAGAATCGATCCCATCTCGTTCAAAATTACCTCGTCTAAATGTAGAAGTGACTGTACGAATATATACCTCTATTTGATCACCAACATTAACGAGAAGAGCACCAGGGATTATAGGAACACGAAACCACTTATCATCTTTCATGACTTGTAGACCTTCTATCTCTTCATCTTGCAGGAGAATGGTTACTGTCGTAGCATCAGCATGTGGCTTGAGTCCAAGGACACAATCAGGCCTTGGACAAGGAGGGTAATAGTTGAATTGCGCAGCCAATCGTTTGAGCTGACCACATTGCTTCAAGAAGCAGTCCTCTTCTAAATTCAATGATCTCGCCATAGACTTCAATAGTTGTTCTTCTATCTGCTCAATCCTTGTAGCATATTCGAACAATATAGCCCTGCAGAGTTGGACATGCTATGCATTAAATTTACATTCTTCAAACTACAGAAATAAACCAAAGGATTCGACTCAAGGATCTAGAGAATCCATGTTTCTTAATTTATAAATCTTTAGGTATAACATCTAACTCTAAGCAAGATAATCTTTTTACTAATTAAGGATAAATATTACCTAAAAGATTGTGGATTTTCAGGCCAAAATTTGAGTTTTCTCTCATTTTCTGGATGAACTAAAAGCATCAGCCGATCAAACCAATCAAGCGTTTGATTCTCGAAAAGAATCATATCATTCCCATATCCATCTATTTTGCCTGCCTCTCTGGCATATTTTTGCTTCTCCATCATAGGAAGGTGAAAAAACTGTCTACCAACTTCACGTATTTTTTCCAGAAGGGAAAATTCAATTCCATGATTGATTGCCTGAAATTCCAACCCAAATATACAAATTATATTCGACAGCCAATGAGAATTTGATTGAAACATAGATTGGGATTTACATGATTTGATTGCAAAAATTTGCAAGTTAAGTGACTAGCCGTGCTTTTAAAAAAAAAATTCAAATTGTAAATTATCAAATTAAAGAGATTATTTTTATCGAATTCAAACCTGAAAGCATCCCCATGAGGTGAGAGCCGATCGAAGTTTGTCGAGTTCTTCGACATTATTCAAACGAGCAATATCAATAACTGGAATTTCTGCGAGTGGCGCAAATGCATCTATGACTCCATAATTAGCATCTTTCCAAATATATTCATTTGGAAACTGAATCCCATTTTCTACCATCTCTTGAACAGGTTTTTGTGTTACTTCTACTTCAGCCATGAATTATTGAAATTGTTCTCGATAGTAAGCTATGTATAGTTAGTGAGGAAATTGGGCGGAGAACTGAAGTAACGGAAAATAAATAGGAAGAAATGAGTAATGCTATTTAGCCCAGCTAGGGTTGCAACCTCAGTCTAGATGACGCTAGATGATAGGTTGAATGAAGTGGAATTAAATGACTATCTATTAGGGTTGCAACCCCAACCTATGTGGCGCTAGATGATAGGTTGAATGAAAGGTGGAATTAAATGATTATCTACTGGGGTTGCAACTCCAACTTATGTGGCGTTAGATGATAGGTTGAATGAAAGGTGAAATTAAATGACTACCCATTAATATTGTGGAATTAAATGACTATTCACTGGGATTACAACCTCCTTCTAGATGACGCTAAATGATAGGTTAAATGAAAGGTGGAATTAAATGACAACCCACTAATGTTGTGGAATTAAATGACTATTCACTGGGATTGCAACCCCTAATCTAGGTGGCGTTAGATGATAGGTTGAACGAAAGGTGTAATTAATTACACCTTTCGTTCAACCTATCATCTAATTCCACATTTCATTCAATCTATCATCTAGCGCCACCTAGATTAAGGTTAAAACCCTAATGAAACTACATAGCACTACTCGAAAGAAATAGTGTTATATGTGGAGCGTAGGAGGGAAAATATTATCTCCATTTTGTACTTTTGTTAGAATAGTTTACACATGGATTGGTGGATTGAAAATATTATCTCCATTTTGTACTTTTGTTAGAATAATTTATGTCATGTTTGGTAGAAGTTAAAATTTAGATTTTAATTTATTTTAAAATCAACAATTAATTTTAATCATATATTTCATAGAATTTACAATTTTTAAACCACACAATTTATCAAAATCTATTAAAAATATAATTTTAATTCCCTCCAAACAAGGCTACTAGTGGAGCGTTGGATGAAAAATATCAATTTTATTTTGTAATTTTGTTAGAATCGTTCACACGTGTGGAGGGGTGGAGAAAATTACTATTATATCCATACTATGATTTGATTAGAATAGTTTACATTTGAAACAGTGGAGGACAAATATTATCTCCATTTTGCAATTTCGTTAGAACCTTTCAAATTTGGAGCAGTGGAGCCAAAATATTATCACCAATGTTGAGAATTAAGCTGTTGACTTTTTAATCTATTAAGTGTGCTTCCAAAAATTGAAGGAGTCGTATATTACAAAATAGCAACTCTATTATTTGTGGCAATCAACATGATTTTGACAAGTGGCACACTTATGTCCATCAGATCAGATTAAAGAATCTTCCAATTATATATTCTTACCTGACTTAGTTGACCAGCAGATTTGAGAGAAAAATTTAGAGACTCTGTTCTTGGTTTCGGCAGAAAGAAGTGAGAGAAATACTAGGGTTCAAGTCGTTCCTTTTTGAGTCTTCTTCTTCCCTGAATTAACTTTCCTTTCTGATGCAATTCTCACTGGACGGCAGCAACATTTTTGAGAGATTAATTTTCATTTTGAAGTCCGAACTCTCTCTCTTCTTCCTTGTGAGAAAGACTCCATTCTTGGTGATTTTAGGTCTTTTATTTTGGAGACTTTGGGGAGAAATATTCTTGGTTTTGGGACAGACTTTCTGGTCGGTTTTCTTTCCTGTGTTTAGACTCCATTTTTGGTGAATTTCAGATCTGTGAGAGAGGCTTTATTCTTGGTTTTTAGAGTCGGCTTCTTCGGTTCTCTCTTCTTGGTGAAGACTTCCTTCTCCTTTGTGGATTAGAGTCGATTCTTGAATGTTTTCAGCAATTAAATCTGCGAAACCGTGTAATGCTATAGATGCATATAGTAGGGTGCTCTTCTCTGTTGATTGTGTATGAATCTTAGTGATTCTATGAGGGCAGTTTGGTTATGGTGATCTATGTGATCCAGATTTTAATTCCTTAGTGGAGTGAGGCGTAAATTATGCCTTATTTTAAAGATAAGTCTTGGTGACTTTTTTCTGTAGTATTACTAAAACATTATTGTATTTTGTTGCTTGATTTTTGGGACTTTATAGTGCAATCGAGCTTTATCCATTTTAATGGATGCTCAACAGGGAATAGGCGTTAGAAGTGGTCGTCGAATCTCTGGG